GTTCATGACCCCGTCCAAGAAAAGGTTTTCCATCATATGTTTTGACCAGACGTGTTCAAATATAGGCAAGTATACATATGGAGACATGGAAATAAGGGAAAGAGTAAATTACGTGAAGTAAGGTGGATAGTTGAAGAAGTTAGGCAGCTTGAATTCGCCCAGCTTCTGCATCTTTCTTGAATTACTTCCTTCTCTGCCTTGGCTGCTCTTTCAAAAAATACCCCCTTGTGATAATAAAGACATCGAAAGAAAGGAAGGAAGGAAGCAAGGAATAGAATAATATCACCAAAATTAACCTGACACTAGTGGTGGCAAATGGCAGGTTGGATTGGATTTGGACGGGTTTAAAACAAACAACAATGACAACTACGGCTCAAGATCGAGCTAAAAATGAGTTTAAATAAAAAAAGGGTCATAATCCAATCTGTCCTTATTTATACAGGTTAAATACAGGCTGGTTTGTGAATAATTCTGGTCCAACCAACATTTTAAAGATTAAATTTACCAAAAAAACAAAAAGCCAAGTCTGAATTCTTTCCNAAAAAACAAAAAGCCAAGTCTGAATTCTTTCTGGCCCCAAACAGAAGGAAATTTTGAAATACAAAAATATATGTGTACTGCTTGACATTGTTAAAATAGCATTACAAACAACTACATACAAGGTTTAGTTACATCGAAGGTTCTTTCTTCCTACATATCAGATATCAATTTGTTGTCCGGAACTTGGCTTATTTGCATGACGAATTTGAAACTAAGTTCAGGTGATATATGTCGTTTTGGTCCAAGATGGAAGTGATATATCGATATTTAGAATACGCTGATACTCTGACCTTGTGATTTAGTCCAGGAACAGCCATAGAATTCCATATATTATACAAGTCCAACAATACATTAATTTTGTTCAGTCATAGAGTATTATAAATGTATGTTTTCACGAAGATTTAGAATACTCTATGACTCTGAACAATCAAAAGTGAGGTTAGACTATATGGAATTCAATAGCTCTTCCTGGAGTCTGGGAGTTAAAGATTGGAATTTCGAAAGCTCTGTCAACATTTGTAAAGGGAGCAAAATGCAGCGTTTCTATTTTACTTCAGGGATAGAACCAGGAATAGGTAAAGCCGATCAGCATCAGAGGGCACTTCATGATCAGAGCAACTAATAATTTGAATAATGATTTCTCAAGAGAAAGCAGTTTCTACTTCCTCCATACACATCCAGAAAAATAAAATAAAAAAACAAATCTTTTTAGAAAATTTGCATCTGGGGTATCTTTAATACTAATGTAAACGAAAAACAAAGATGAAGAGTACATACTTCAGCGAGCCAACAACTCCGTCGTATATGGAGAAATTCAGAAAGTCAAATCCAAGACTCACCACAAATTCGAAAAAAAATTGTCGGATGGCAAATGACCCTGAAACTAAAAATATCAAAAAAAATTAAAAGAATAATCAAATTCCTAATTGTAGTTCGAGATTAAAATATTGTTATGAGTAAACCTATGACTTTCAATATTATAAGCTTGTTATTGTAGAGAGCATAGAAGAACCTGAGAATGATAGATGAAGACTCGGTGATGAAGAGAAGCTCAGGGAGAGACCAGTCTAACTGTAACTTTGGATCAAAGTTAAAATTGAGTCCTTTAATAGGTTTATTTTGGGGTTGTTCGTAATAATAATGATAAAAAGTTGGGACCTCGTAAGAACAAACTAAGAAAATTGTAAAAATGCAAACAAGCCCAAAAAGTTATAACAGATGGATTAACTGGCCCAAGGGCTTTTTGTTCAGTTCTAATGGAAAAATAATCAAATTTGTCACAGCAAATGAGATTTAAGCCCAAAAATTGTTATAATTTTATTTGACTAACTTATAATCTTACCAATCACTCTGATTAAAATATACATAAGGCTTTTTACTGATGGGATAAGAATAGTAATTTCGAAATAAAATATATTGATATTTTTGTCTGGATATAAGTAGTTTTGAGATTATTTTTTCAGAAGTAATATTATTTTTATTTTCATATTCAATTTGGTTAGCAATACTAATCTTGAAATAAATCAATAAAATGATATATTTTCTCTTCGCCCAAAATTTTAAGTGAATCAAGATTAAAATTAAACAACAACTTCCAATAAAAATATATTTATATAAATAATTTTAGTATTATTTAATTTCTTATCCAAAAGATCCCTCAAAGAGATATACAATAGTGAAGCAATTTNTTTCTTATCCAAAAGATCCCTCAAGGAGATATACAATAGTGAAGCAATTTTAAATGCTCTTTCTATAAATTTGAGTGGAAAAAGAGAGGTGAAAATGAAGTGGTGCAACTAAGGCAAGTGAATGTCAAAACTGGACTGCTGCATGTGCACATATTGTAGTTATTGTCATCGTCTTCAATTCAATTCAAGTCTGCAATCACAGTAGCTGCACTAACCCAGTAAAGCGAGTATCTTTTCTCACTCTTTTTGTTTATCTCTGTGACAAAATCTGAATGATCACTCGTCAACCTTGAAAAATTTCTAACTTTCTTGAAATTGTCATGTGGACTTAGAGCTGTGCAAAAGATTTCCCCTTTTTCGTTTTTCCACAATTGTTCTATTTCCTAGTGGTTTGTTCTGCCATTCGTTGAGTTAGGCCTAGATGATTACCGTGGGGTGGATGATTCTGAGTTTAGCATTTTGTTATGTTTTCTTTGAGGAACCCATGTTGAATTATTTCAGCATAGATGCTTTTTTAGTGAAATCAAAGATCTCAATTTTCTTTTATTTTATATCATGCTAATTAGGATTATGGTTTGGTCATGTTGGTGTACTTACATTTGGTCATGTGCTTGATAGGAGTCTCTGTAGTTTTGTTATAAATTGGTCCAATTCATATAGCTGATCCCAGCTAGTTCGGGATTAAGGCATATTTCTTGTTATTGTTGACTTGTTTTTAAATTGAATTGGAGGGCTTGTGTTCTTTAGTATGCTTCATTTCAGTCTCTTTGTATTTTTTTAAGAAAAATAAGTAAATTTTGATTTTGCAGCTTTATCAGTCTTGAATTGCACATTTCAAGCTTTTCAAAGTGAGAATTGTTTAATAATGGAAGTGTAATTTTGGGATTTTTATATTTTGAATTTTTTCCATTTTACGTTACCTTAATAATCCAGTAGCTTTTATATGCATGAATGTCTGATTTTCGGCTTATTGATTGTTAAAAAGAGTTGCCTCTACTCCTGGAAAGGTTTTAATGACAGGAGGTTATCTTGTTTTGGAGAGGCCTAATGTCGGTATTGTACTCAACACAAATGCTCGTTTTATGCAATTGTGAAGCCACTTTATGAGGAAATTGAAGCTTCTACAATTTCTCATGGGACTTAATGAGTCATATGAACAAGCGAGAAATCAATTGTTAATGATGATTCCTGCTCCCTCTGTTAACAAAGCCTCTTCAATGTTAATGGAGAGGGAGAGTCAAAGGGCTATTGCTCATACTGGTGCTTCTGTAGATAGCCATGAATCTGCTGCCTTTGTTTCTTCTACTAGAGGTAGTTTTCATCAGAAATCTAGAAGAAATTATAATCTTGTATGTGACTATTGCAACTATAAGGGACACACTAGAAAGAACTGTTTCAAGCTGAATGGATATCCTGCTGACTTTAAAAACAAAAAAAAGGGAGGCTCCTTCTCTGCAGCCAACTTTGCAGGGAATAGTGGAGGATCTGTAACTACTGGTTTACAAATGCATGCATCCGGAGCTCAGGAACCTATTCTAGCAGTTAACTTTGCAGGAAATAATAGTGGAGGCTATAATGGTGATATGATTAAGCCACAACCACAATTGACTCCACCTCCTGTCTCAGCACCCTACTTTACTCCAGAACAATAACAACAAATCTTACAAATGCTTGGCAAAGTAAATGAGGAAGGAAGTTCTACTCAACCAACAGTAACAGCAGCAACAACAGGTATATTCTCCTTTCTATCCAGAGTGGTTGATGATAGGTGGATAGTTGACACTGGGGATACTAATCACATGGTAGCAAACTCTAATTTGTTGAATAAACTGGATAGAGACTCTAACCTAAAAGGTGGAAAGGTACATTTACCAACTGGTAATGTGGTATCAATATCAAATACAGGAACATCTAGCATATTTAGAAATCAAGAGATTCAGAATGTTCTGCATATTCCTGATTTCAAGTTCAATCTACTATCTGTCTCTCAGTTGACAAAGGAACTGAGATGTTATGTGGCATTCTTTCCTGATTTCTGTTTCTTTCAGGACATCTTCAGTGGACAGGTGANATCAATATCAAATACAGGAACATCTAGCATATTCAGAAATCAAGAGATTCAGAATGTTCTACATATTCCTGATTTCAAGTTCAATCTACTATCTGTCTCTCAGTTGACAAAGGAACTGAGATGTTATGTGGCATTCTTTCCTAATTTATGTCTCTTTAAGGACATCTTCAGTGGACAGGTGAGGGGGATTGGTAGAGAAGACTGTGGACTGTACTACCTGAAGCCAACCTCAACTCCAGCTCAATTACAGCAGCCTATTAGAACCATCTCCATTTGCTCTTCTGTGTCTGTTAGTGTTCCTTTGTCTGTATGGCATAATAGACTAGGCCATGCACCACATGATGTACTTAGGAAAATAGAGTCTTTAAAACAGTCCAAGCCAGATAAAAATCATCACTGCACAGTGTGTCCACTTGCAAAACAGTCTAAACTTCCATTTCCTACTAGTACAACTAGTTCAAATAAACCTTTTCAACTAGTACATGGTGATGTTTGGGGTCCATATAGAGTTCCTACACATGATAATAAGAGGTACTTTCTAACACTAGTAGATGATTTCTCCAGGTACACCTGGATATTCTTGTTGAACAATAAAGCTGAAACTATTGTTGTTATAAGACAATTCTTAGCTATGGTAAAGAACATTTTCAATTCCAATGTTCAAATTCTGAGAACATATAATGGATGTGAGTTTTCTAACTCTCAGTTTGATGAATTAGTTAAGGAAAATGGCATTATACACCAAAGTTCTTGTGTCTACACACCTCAGCAAAATGGTGTAGTAGAGAGAAAACATAGATCAATTCTGAAAGTTGCTAGGTCACTAAGGTTTCAAGGGGTTGTACCTGTGAAGTTCTGGGGGGAATGTGTGTCTACAGCTGTATAACTACTTAACAGACTACCTTATATTATTCTTCAAAACAAATCATCCTTTGAAATGCTGCACTGGTACGCACTCTCCAGGTATTGACCACTTGAGGGTCTTTGGTTGTCTTGCATATGCATGAAGTCCAAAAGTCACTGATAAGCTGTCAGCCAGGGCTATTCCAGCAGTTCTAATGGGATATTCATCTACTCAAAAGGGCTATAAACTCTATGACTTGCATGCTAAAACATTCTTTGTCAGCAAGAATGTGGTTTTCAAGGAAGATCTGTTTCCATTTAAATATTTCACACCCTCTACATCACATCTATTTCCAGTTTTAGAGCCCAGCATTCATAATCAGCCCCTATCAGACTTTCAACCCTGTGACTCTCAGCCTACTCAAGAGGAAGGGAATACAAGCTTAGCTTCTTTTCCTTCAATTCCCTCTAATACTGCAGATCAGCTTAGTGTGCCATCTAATACTGCAGAGCAACCTAGTGCTTCTAATACTGCAGATTAGTCTAGTGCTTCAAATTCACCTTGTGATATAGCTGCTAATGACTCTGTCATAAGTCATGCTCCTGCTACCACAGAACAGTCAACTGAATCACTTAGAAAGTCATCTATAACTGTTAAGCAACCTCTTTGGTTACAAGACTATGTTACTACTAAGGCTTCCAACTATGTCTATCCTATCTCTTCTTATATCAGCTATGATCAACTTACATCTTCCTACAAGACAGCCTTGAACTCCTATTCATCTATCTTGGAGCCTTCCACTTTCAAGGAAGCTGCTGCATATCCAAAGTGGATTGAAGCAATGAGACTTGAGATAGCTTGTCTTGAGGAGAACAACACATAGAGTATTGTGGATCTCCCTGAAGGCAAAATTCTCATTGGGAGCAAATGGGTGTTCAAAGTCAAATATAAATCATCAGGAGAAGTGGAAAGGTATAAGGCACGCTTAGTGGCAAAAGGATACGGTCAACAAGAAGGATTGAATTACAAAGAAATATTTTCACCAGTAGCTAAAATGGTTACTGTTAGATCAGTGGTAGCTGTAGCTGCATCCAACAATTGGTTCATCTATCAAATGGATGTCCACAATGCCTTCTTACAAGGTGATCTTTTAGAAGAAGTCTACATGACCATTCCATATGGATTTGCTATACAGGGGGAGATTAAGAAAGTCTGCAAATTATGTAAATCACTGTATGATCTGAAACAAGCACCAAGACAGTGGAATCTAAAACTGACTGAAGCCCTGCACCAGTTGGGCTTTGTTCAAAGTCACTTTGACTACTCCTTATTCACACAGAAGCTAGGCAGTGATATAATTGTGATCTTAATATATGTTGATGATCTAATCATCACAGGAAGTAGTCATGAGTTGCTGATCAAGACAAGGAAAGATCTACAGAAGAAGTTTAAAATGAAGGATCTTGGAGACCTTAAATTTTTCCTAGGATTGAGTTTGCCAGATCAAAGAAGGGCATGCATATGTGCCAAAGGAAGTACACGTTGGAGCTAGTATCTGAACTTGGTCTAGGTGGAGCAAAGACAGCTGGAACTCCTTTGGAGTGTAATCAAAAACTCACTTCGGTGGAGTATGATAAAACGTTCAACAGAGATGCAGGCTATGAAGATCCTACATTGAAGGATCATGTGAGTATCAAAGGTTGATAGGAAGACTATTATATTTAACTATGACCAGACTAGATATATCTTTTGGAGTGCAAGTACTAAGTCAATATATGCATGCTCCAAAACAATCACACATGGAGGCTGTCCTAAGAATTGTCAGGTATCTAAAAGCATCACCAGGCTTGGGACTCCTGATGCCAGCAGAAGAAACAAAGCAACTACAGGCATTCTGTGATTCAGATTGGGGCTCCTGCATGCAGACAAGAAGATCTGTCACATGGTATCTCGTGAAGTTTGGAGGAGCTTTAGTATCATGGAAGTAAAAGAAGCAAGAAACTGTAGCTAGAAGCTCAGTTGAAGTTGAATTCAGAAGCATGGCATCTTGTGTAGCTGCGATCACTTGGTTGATAGGCTTGTTTAATGAACTGGGAATTAAACTTCATCAACCCGTTGATTTGTTTTGTGATAGTAAGGCTGCTATTCAGATTGCAGCAAATCATATATTCCATGAAAGAACCAAACATATAGACATAGACCGTCACTTTGTAAGAGAAAAAATGAGTCAAGGAATGATCTTAACTTATCACTTGTCAATAAAAGATCAACTGGCAGATTTGCTGACAAAGAGCATTGGCAAAACATAAAATGAGTTCCTATTAAACCAGTTTGGAGTCGAGAATATTTTCAAAGCATCAGCTTGAGGGGGAGTGTTGAAAGTGTAGCAAGCTGATGTGGCATTAGTCAGTTAGTGAGTTAGCTAGATATGTGGTTAGCAAGTGAGTTAGTAATTTAACTAGAGTTAGTATTAAAGTTTGATTTAATCGGTAATATAGAATTCTAACTCTATATATATATATATATA